TTTTTTTTTTTTTTTTGCCTTCTTATAGAGACAATCCCAGGTCTTATGTTTTCTATGTTCTACAGGTACTTGATCTGCAACCCTGTGGTTCTGGTTCCTATTTGTTTGTATTTCCTATAAACTGGTCATCAAATACAGAGATTTGATAAATCCACATTCATCTGTTTAGGCCAAAAACAGATGCTCCTGGGCTTATAGTGGGAACATGACCCACAAAAACATTGAAATTGAGAATGTTGTAAGCGAAAAATGAATTTAAGACACTCAACCTAAAGAACGTTCCAGCTTAGCAACACCATTTGCTGTGGAATATCTGTTATTTATTGCTGTGACTGTGAGCTGCAGCTTGAACTGACTGTAAGATATGGCCTGTTCCCACTGCTCAGCATCACAACAGAGTATGTACCAAGTATCATTAGTCTGGGAAAAGCTCAAAATTCAAAAATTAAAGTGTAACATCTACCAAATTTTTATAATTTTTCATTCTGTTGTAAAGCCAGAAAAATCTCAAGTCAGACTGTCCTAAGTCTGGGACTAGTGTGCAGTGGTACAGTGATGTGGGGCTGCTCTTTGAGGCACAGGTGGTGCCATGCCTCTGTTCAGCATCACCCTGAGATATTTGACACCACTTCTTCTGTGATGTTGACAGCAGCCAGTCATTCCGAGATCTGTTACCCCAGTCCATCCATCACAAAGCTCTCCTCCACCTTTCACCTATGGATTTAGCAGCCTTCGTGAGCACTGCCTAGGAGATCTGTGTATTTCCTTAGATGTTACAAAATAGTGAAACTCTCATTTTGTCATTCCTCCTGCATTTATTAACTGGAATTCTATATTTTAAAATAACTTTTGACCATCTATTGTTCGAAAACCTTGAAAGTACATAGACAAAAGGCAGGGTGTGTACAAAATGCTTCCCTTTATTGATACTTTCAAAATGTTTTCATTTGCTAGTGTTATGGCAATTGCTATGGACTTGGTGGTTGAAAGCAACAGAAGTTCATTATTTCATAGACCTGGAGGCCACAAGTCCAAAATCAAGGCCTTGGCTGGGCAATTCCTTCTGAGCCTGTAACAGAGCACATCTGTCTCACCTTCTGGTCTCTGCTGGCCACCTTTGGTGTTCTTTGCCTGGAAGGTTCATAACTTTGTTCTCTGTATGTAGCTTTACAAAGGCTTTTTCTTTTTGTCTGATTTTCTATCTCGTCTAGGGACTTGTCATTAGATTTAGGGTGCACTCTAATTCAGGATGATTTCATCTCAAAATCCTTAATTTAATTCTGTCTGCTAAAACTCTATTTCCAAATAAAGTTATTTTGCAGGTCCTTGGGTTTGGACTTGGGCATATCTTTTTAAAAGAGGAATACCAGTCAATCTTCTATACCATCAAATATAGCCAATGATGATTTTAAAATTATCATCATAAATATATGGTTTAAATTACATTATGAGCTCTCAATTATTATTTTTTATGCTCAAATAGTCTTTTCTTTTCTTTTTTTTTCAAGAGAATTAAATCGTTTATTGATTACACATGATAATGGATGATACACAGCTTCAATCCCATCTATCATTGTATCTGGTACCATTATTCAATTTAGATATATAGGATGTGCCAACAATCATTTTTATAACCAAGTAGCTGACTGTTTGCTTGGGTGACCTTTTCAATGGTCAAATTCAGAGGTCACAACAGTA